GGAGTGCTCTCAGGAAAAGGAAGGGAGAAAGGAAAAAGGAAAGAAGGACAGGGCGGGGGAAGGAAAAAAAACAAGGGTGTGATTCCCTTGGAGACTAGCTCCAGCCTGATCCCATGGGGGAGCCCTGGTGTGTAAACTGCACCATGGAATTGATGTCACGGTGAGACAAGGAGGCCGGCCTTATGCGGAGTGGCTGGAGGATGGACGCACCAGCCTGGTCCAGGGGAGTTGAGTACGGTACCAATAGCATCAGCTACGTGAGGTGACAGGGAGCATGCACACAACTGATAGGAGAACCCAAAGCCCATGGGGGCTTTACAGGAGTCAGAGGACCTGAGAAGTCGCTCTTATTGAGGTTCATAGTCGCTCTTGGCTTCTCTTCTCTGCATCTCTTCTCTATTCTCTCAGATTCTCGTCATGATTCAATTGGACCCAAACTATACTCCTGAACTTGAGGCAGTTCATGCACAACTTGGTCAGCTAGCTCTCTGTGACTCGTCCAGGCTAACCAGAAAGGATGAGTTGGACCCCCCTGGATTCCTTTCTTCACAGCTAAGACTTGCAAAACCGAGTTATGGAACTGCTTAGCTGTGGGAGCTGGACTAAAGGGTCAAGAAGCAAGCTGGGGTGGCTGCCCTGGTCAATTTATGTAGTGAGATGAGAGAGGAGGAGAGATAAGCGTGATTGGACTTGGGGCCTGCACAAAGGCACCACCTCTACCCAGCACCCCAGCTTTGCTTGCGGTTTTGCTACCATTGACATGGGCTTTCGGGGGCCCCAAGGAATGTTTTTGCACACTGACTGACAGGTGCTGAGAAAGTGCCCAGAATTATTTGGACCGTTATAGTATAAGAATGCCAAAGATGTTGGTGGTCATGAAGATGATGATGATGGAGATGATGCTGACGATACAGAGAGAGATACAGGGATGACTGCTCAGAGTAAGGACTTGTCATGTGCCAAGAACAGTCTTTAGCACCTTTTCCGTATATTATTAGGTAATTCTTGCAATAGTTGCACGAAGTAAGTACTATTATTTTAAAAAATATTGTATTTATTTATTTATTTATTTATTTATAGTGCAAGCAGGGAGAGGGGCAGAGGGAGAGGGAGAGAGAATCTCAAGCAGACTCTTTGCTGGGTGCAGACCCTGATGTGGGGCTCGATCCCACGATCCTGAGCTCATGACCTGAGCACAAACCAAGAGTTGGACACATAACCGACTGAGCCATCCAGGTGCCCCAAGTGCTATTATCATCCTCATATTACAGATGAAGAATCTGAGATCCAGAGAGATCAATAGATTCTCCCAAGTTCATCTGGCTAGTAAGTATTGAAGTCAGAATTCCAGCTTATTCAACTTGAACAAGTGTCTCAAACTGCCTTAGGCACCATCTCCTTATCTGAAAAGTAGGCTTGGTAATTCCTAACTCACCTGGTTGGGGGGAAGGTTAGGCAAGATGGTATATAGTAGCTGCTCAGTAGATGCCTTGCTTCTCCCGACTCCGTTTTTCAGGTCTGCTGGAGAGTCAGTAGGAGGAGGCCAACATAATGCCCAAGGATGAGACTGAGACCTTCCTGTAGGAGGAGGAGGTAAGCACTGGAGCTTTGTCCTGGGCTTTCTACCCAAGTACAGGCAGCACATTTCAATGGAGGCTTCTGGAAGGCAGTTTGAACCCTGAATGGTAGCAATGAAAGACTGCATAATCCTGGCTCTCCAGGGGATTGCAGGAGGGGAACACGGCCCTCAGGTTCCACTGGCTGGATGCAGGGAGTCAGGGGAGACAGGGAGATGAAGAAAGATCCAGAGGGCCAACAGCTCCAATTCTCACAGGGCTGAGTGGTAAAGACACCATCCTTGGCGTGAGCAGGTGCCTCCCTCCTGCTTCTGCTCCCTTTCCTCCAGCCCTTCCTTGTCACCCTGTCTGTCCATGCCTCCCCCTCACTCTTGTCTTCCTCCTGCTCCTTTCCAGGGCTCCCTTTCTCCCCTCCTGTCTTCCATCCTTTGTTTATCTCCTTTGTTCTTTTTTTCCCCCTTTCTTTCATCTTGCCGTCTTCCTTCTGCCCCTTGCTTCCATCCCAAGGTGGCCCTGGTTTGGCATCTGCCCATGAGGGCTTTGATGGTCCTTGGAACAAGGCTTGTCTCCTGGATAACCACTTTGCCTCTATGGGACTCCAATTTCATTATCTGTAAATTGGGAAGAGGTGTGGCACTGAACCAAGTCAGATTATCCAACTTGGTTTTTTCCCACACTACAGAATACTATACAGCAATGTGACAAACTATTTACGACCATACCTACAAACATGACACTGAACAAAAGATGCTTAGACACAAGAATTCATCCTGAATGTACATTCATATGGAGGTAAGAAACAGGCACGATGAATCTATGGTGTTAGAAATCCGGTGGGGGCACCTGGGTGGCTCAGGTGGTTAAGCGTCTGCCTTTGGCTCAGGTCATGATCCCGGGGTCATGGGATCGAGCCCCACGTTGAGCTCCCTGCTCAGCGGAGAGCTGCTTCTCCCCTTCCCTCTGCCCCTTACCCCCGCTTATGTGTGTGTGTGGGGGTGCGCTCTCTCTTTCTTTTTCTCTCTCTCGCTCTCTCGCTCACCCTCTCTCTCAAATAAATAAATAAAATCTTAAAAAAAAAAAGAAATAAGATGGTTACCCTTGGTGGTAAGGGGTATACTGACTAGAAGGGGTTCTCTGGGGGTGCTGATCATTTCTTGACCTGAATGTTGGTTGTATGCATTTGCTCATTTTGTGAAAATTCATGTTAGTATTCTCTCATGATTTGCATAGTTTTTGTGTGTATTATAGGGAGAACTTATGAAATACTTTGAAATGAACCAAAAGATTACTGGTCTTGAGGTCTTTAACACACCTGTTGTGTAATAAAGAATTTGGCTGGTGTTTGCCCCTGGTTCCTGAAAGGGAGTCTCTAAGCCCTTGGAATACTCCAAGTGATAGGAATATCTTTGCTATCCGTGCTTGGCCTCCTGAACCACACCTGAGTCTACACTAAGGAGGCCACTCAAGGTGGGCCTGGGATAATTGCAGAATGGGATCTAGCTATGCCAGTAAGACCAACCATGTGATTCAAAGGTTGGGGCTTGGAGCCACATGATACCAGCCTGACCTCCAGGGATTGGGAGGGGGATGAAGACTGAATTTAATCCCATGGCCAGTGATTCATTTAGTCATGCTTACCTAATGAAACTCCAATAAAACTCTGGACACCAAGCTTCCGTATGCTTACCTGGTTAATGATGTACGTCAATGTGCCAGGAAGGTGATGCATCCCGAGGACACAAAAGTTTGGAGCCCTCCCTGAAATCATCCTATGGTTTTCTTCTTTTGGCTGGCTCTGGTTTGTTTCCTTTATAATAAAGCTGTTGTTACGGCTTAAATGTTTATGTCCCCTAAAATTCCTGTATTAAAACCGTAATCCCCACTGTGATGGTATTTGGAGGTGGGGCCTTTGGAAGGTGATTAGGTCATGAAGGTGGAGTCTTCATGATCAGATTAGTGCCCTTTAAGAAGAGAGGTGAAAGAGCTTCCTTCCCCTCTCTCCACCATGTGAAGACACAGAGAGAATTTGGCTATCTAAGCCAGGAAGAAGGCTCCCACCAGACACCGTCCATCAGCACGTTGATCTTGGACTTCCCAGCCTACACACCAAGATCATGTGAGAAATAAATATTTATTGTTTAAGGCACCTCATCTTTAACACCTTGTGACAGGAGGCTGAGCTGCTAAGGGCATTGTAATCTGTCATCCCAGCTGGTGGCTGGTATCTGAAGGGAGGGTTGCCTGTGGGGCACTGTGCCCTTATTTCCCCTGTGAAATCTGACCCAACTCCATGTAGGGCCAGAATTGCATTGGGACACCTGTCTGGGTTATCTGATTCTGTGATGCTTGGTGCCTCTCATTGTTTTTTGAGATTTTCACACCTCCGTCAGTCGTAGTGAACTGATGGTACTTGTCTGTGGACAGGAAAGTTCTGTCTAGTGCTGGAGAGACAACGGATCCCTCTCCCACCAAATTCGTGAATTCACTCCAGCTGGAACCAGATCAACTAGAAGAGTGTGGTCCTCAGAGTTTTCCTTTGAATCCATCATAACATCTTAGTGGTTCCCTAATTAAGGAATGAGGGAAATCAAATCTTCCACATATCTTCACTTTGTATTTGTATGAGAGCCGTGATTATATTGTCTTTTAAAGTTTATTCTTTAAGAATATTTTCTGCCACGGCAGCCCTCCTGGGTCATCGCCTCCTGGAGCCCCTGGGACTCTAGGGTGTTTGCACCAGCTTCCCTGATGACTCTGATGCCCTTGCTCATGGCCAGGTAGCTGGCACTCTGCACTAGGCAACTGTCAAGGCTTCCTGTGGCTTTGAACCTCCGGGATTTGAGAACAGATTGTAAACCCCAGGCTTACGATTTTACAGCACCCGTCTCCTTCCTGTTTGGGTTTTTCGTTCACGGAGGAGTTTCTGGTCAGGATTATGCAAAGGAAACCAAAGGTCAAGCCCCGAACCTTCCAGCCAAGACTTTTCCTACATTCCGCTGTGGAATCCAACAAAGGAGGCTAACCCAGAGCCAGGCAGTGCCGGGCCGCCTCGCAGGCTACTGTAGACGGAGCTGAGGAAGCCCCCCGTCACTCTCCTTGCACTTTTTTATTAAGCTCCAGCCCCAGTTTTGTAATGGAGTTAGTATTTTTTCTGCCCTCTTTCCTTCAATTCCTAATGCAAACAGCAATGCTCAGAAAAGCGACGTTTATTAAATCAGGAGGATTACAATATCAATGGGAAGTTATCATGCAATAACCTTTTATTGATTTGTGTATTGCCAGTAATGAAATCAACCGGAATATTATTTATTAAACATATTGATTAGCAAAAAATAATTTGCAGGGACGGAAGCCTGACTCTGCAGGGGATCCCCCCGAGCTCTGTGTGTACGTCCAATCCTTCCCTTTTGTTGCAGGGGGAGGAGCCATAGCGTGCATCTGACCTAACAGAGAACTAGTCTTCGAGATGTCGAGTCTTCGAGAGCATCTACTGTGGGTGCGCAGACATGCAGCCTGTAGGGCCGGCTCTCAGCATCTGTGCCATCTGCCTGGGAGGGCCTGGGATGAGCCGTCACTGAAAGGGTGGATAAACTGATGAGTGGGTAGTGTGGCTTCTCCCTCCTGCTTATCTCAGAGACAGAGGTGTGGACTGGGGAACTGAGGGGCCTGTGGGGTGGGGAACAGCATTTTGGTTGTTTCTGAGAAATCCTTGGGACAAGGATTTGGGTGCAGGTAATATATATTGGGTAGTGACCCCAGGAAGCACAGTGAGCGAGAGAGGAGGAATGGGAGACAGGGAAGGGAGCAGAGTCATCGGTGACAGGTAACTGATGGGTGTTACCACGGGCAACCAGGACTCAGCCCTGCTGGGGACGCTCTGAGAGGTGTGTGTGACACTCCTCAGAATCACTCACCAGAAGGCAAAGAAGCTGGGACATTTACTGCTAGTTCCCACCCCTTCTTGGTTGGAGGGCTACTCCTGGTTGTCTTAATTCTTCAACATCTCTGGCATTACTGGGCTGTCCCACACGCTAGCAGAGCGTGTTTTCCAGGCAGTATGCAGCCTCAGGCAGAAGGATACAGGGGCTTGAGGCCAGAGCCTTCCTGGTGTATGGGAACTGTCTAGTGCAGTGGTAGGATCGGGAGTGGGGGGTGCCCAGGGGATCTCGAAGGTGCCCCGACTATGTCTGCCATGGAGGCGCTGAAGGTCCAGGATTGATGCAGGGCAGGCTCTCTCCAGAGCTGCCTTTGACTTTTAACTCCTAGCTCATGGGATTTCCACACCTGAATCTTCCCTCTCTCGGACAGGATCTGGAGTTTCCACGGACAAATCCAGGAGGAGCGGGAATGAAATTAACTGCACATTGCGGAGTGCTTACTAAACATGGCTCATCTCCTCCATCCTCACAAGAGCCCTGTAGGTGCAGGGATTAGTGTCCCTATCCTGCAGGTAAGGAGACAGAATGTAAGAGCACAGGGTGAAGGGAGAGGTCTGGAATTCAGGTCAGTTTGCCTGATTCCAAAGGACATAATCTGGTTCTGAGCAGGATGGCTGCAAACATGCACTCTGGAGCCAGATGGCCAGGTGTGGGATCTTGGCCTCATTTCTGTTAGTTCTGGGACCTCGAACGAGGCACTCAACCTCTCTGATCCTCAGTTTCCTTGTCTTCTACGGGGATTACAACAGCCTCTGCCCCAGGGGAAAATGTGAAGCTTACATGACACAGTAGAACTCCAGATCTCTCCTGTCCCGTGGCTAGTTTTCTTTCAACACAGCAGTGCCATTCTTAGCTCTGACGTGAGCTTTCAGTTCCACTGCTGGGGGCTTTGTGCTAGACACACAAACTGGCTGGGGTGGCGGGTGGGTGGGAAAATGGAATCAAGGTGACTGAGGAAAAAAAAGCCTCTAACAATTATGAGTCACCTGCTACATACTCTCTCTCCTCTCTACACCTCATTTCAACCTTGCTCATTTCCTCTTTACAATATGAAAAAACAACACTGTGCCCATTTTACAGATGAAACCATAAGATGCTCAAGGACGGTTACAGAGCTGTGTCTGCTCCAGGTTCTTGCTAGAAGTGGCACGGAGGAGATTCCAATGAGAACTGTCCACATTAAGGCCACGCAAGTGCCCCCCAAGTTGGGGAAGACCTTCCTCTTCACTGTCATTCATAAATGTTTAACTCCTGCGTCTCTTGTTAGCTCAAGCACATAGCTGATGACTAACGAGATCGGCTGAAAAAAACATGCCGGCACCTCCCCCAAGTGACGCTGTGATGAAGAAGGGGGCAGGGCCGCTGCTGGGAGTGTAGACATCCCTGAAAAGTCTTTCAGGCCACACTCTGAAATTTGGATGCTGTTCTGCAGGCCAGATATTTACATGCATGGCAAACCCCCACAGATGGACTCGGACACCTCCATGACACGGGATCTGCATGGCCCACTTGAGGACAGCTGCTCGCTGAGGACTGTGGCATAGAGACAGAGACTACCAGGGCTGTGGTTTGTAGGACAGGTGTCAAGTCAGGAGGTGGAGTCTTTGTCCTTCCCCTTCACTAAGGGGCTGGTGTTGCAGCTGTGTGACTCCTGAAGCTCATAAGGGACATCCAGCTTTTTTGTGACTCTCTCGGGACATGGGCCCTTGTAGCCTTGAACCTCTCTGTCAGAAGTCCAGCCATCCTGAAGCTGCCATATGGAGATACCATGTGGAGAAAGCACATAGAGACGGGGAGAGGTGCCCAAGGAGCCCCAGCTGTCCCAGCCCCCAGCTATTTGAGTCACCTGATGAAAGTGAGTGAACCTTCAGATGTTTCCAACCGCATAAGAGAGGGTCAGGACTAGCAGGAGTCCAGTGTGGAATCAGTAGCAGAGCTGGACTGAGCCATATTTGAACCCAAGGCCCCCCCTCCCCACTAAAATACCCAGTAATGATGATCCTGTCTTTTTTGAAAATTTGATATTTTCTTCATCATGGATTCTTTTGGTATTAATTTTGATTTTTAAAAAGGCACTGATTAAAATATTCCTTATCTTGATTACTGAGTTTTTTGGCACCCCCTTAAAATTTGTGCCCAAGGGGAGTGACTTGTTTATCTCACCCTCATCCCGGCCGGTGTGAGACTTTCAGCAGGCACTGCCTCGCTGGTCCCAGGCAACCTGGAAGAAACATGCAAGACGGTAATATTGGCTGACTTGTTTTACAGCAGTAGCTAACCGATACAGAGAGCACCCAAGTTCTCTCTGGTCAGCTCTCCTGGCTTTATGTGTTTATTTGCTTATTTTGTTTAGACCTTTAAAAGTACTAATTCTGAATTAACTCACCCAAAGCAATATCACAATCTACAAGTACACAGAAAGAGGAAGAGGACAGAATTAACTGTGTTGATGTAATTATGATAGGATGCAGAAAAGTATGGGGCTAACATTAAGCCCCGTGTGTACCCTGAACCCAGGTCTGTCAAAACCTAGTAGTTCCTTCTTTGCTGAGGATGACAAAATTAAAGGTTAGTTTGACTGGATTTAAATACTAGCTCTACCACCAGTTAGCTGGGTGTCATTGGACAAGTCACTAAGCTCGTTGAACTTCAGTTTTATCATCTGTAAAATGAGCACAATACCAGCACTCTCCTCACGGGATTGTTAACAGAATGGAAGGAAATGGTCCATGTAAAGTGTTTAGCACACTGCCTTGCATACAGTAAGTGGTCAATAAATGTTAGCTATCATTATTGCTGCTTCTGCTGCTGTTGTTAGCTAGAACTCGAAGAGAGAGCCTAGGAGAGTTGAGCTTGGATGATCACAGGGAGATCGTGTCTTTCTGTTACCCTGCATGACGTGTCATGGAAGAAATCTGCCTTCTTGCTGCATCACCATCCCAAGGTGGCATATCACTGCTGTATTTTAAGCCCAGATCGAGGATATTAACAATCCAAAGTGTTAAATATAGAACTATCGAAGAGATGAACCCAAGACAAACCAAGCTCTTACCAAGAACAACAGTCTTGGGCTGAGAACCCAAGCTGAGCTAAAATAGAGCGTGTTTTCAGAATTAAAGCAGAACTAGACAGTTGATTGGTTCGTCGTCTTCCTTCTGGCTGGGATCGCCTTTTAGTTGTGAAATTGTATAAAGTGTGTACATGTGAGTGAGTAGAACCCGAGCGAAAGCGTGGGTTTCTGGGTTTGTCAGGCATGTTTATGCGTGACTTGTCTGTGTGCTTGTGTGTGTGTGAGTGTGTCTGTGTGTGCATATGTGTTCCTGTGAACACGTGTATGTGTGTGTGTGAAGGTAAACTCCAAGAAGGTAGGGGCCCCACGCCTAGCGTAGTTGTTGGTATGGGATAGGCACTCACCGTTTGTTGAATGACTGCATGAATATGTATGAGTGTGTGTGTGTCCATGTGTGAGTGCAGACTTGGGCTGTTAACATCCTGAGAGTGAAGGTATGGATGTTCCTGCCAGGGTGGGGGTCCTCCATCTGATTGTGTTTAGGCTTTTGTAAGTCTAGAACTTGGCTATGCAGGGATAATGGCATTTTCTTGCAGTCCCTGACCCCACGGAAGCTCCCATCCCCTTCCTTGGGGCTCCCCCTGCCTGCAGGGCCCTCCTTCCCCCCCAGCCCCCATTCGGACCTTTGCTTCTGTGTATCTTCCGGAGGACACAGATGGCAGGAGCAGAGAATCGGAAGCACTTGGCAATGAAGTAGCAATTCACTCTGCAATCCCTTCGGTATTCATCGCAACAATGCCCGCTCTGATGGGCTCCGAGCGCTGAATGCAGCTTTCAATGTGCAATCCAGCAGGGATTATGGCTCCGTGTGGCCCTCATCACGTCCGCTTGTTGTCAAGTGTTGCTGAGAGTTCTCCCATTCGGGATGAGGGAACCACTTGTTTTAGCAACTGCTTTCCGAAACCTCCTCTGGGTTGGGGTTTCTGCGAAGCTCCCAGTGATGCGTTATTGTTCCTGGTTTGTGTTTTGGACACTAATGTGCTCTGCTGAAGTATGTAAATTGCCATAATGCGAGGAAATGAGATATAAAAATAACTTCGGGGCAGCAAATGCTGGAGGAGCTCGGAGATGGGCAGAGCCTGTCCTCACTCCGCCTTGGGGCCGAGGAGAAGCTCTTGGCAGCAGGGCTGGGGCAGGATACCTGAGATGCCCTGCACGCGTGGCTCTCTGCTGCGGGCCGACCAGTGCCCACCCTCCTGCTGCTGCCCCCCTGGCTGGACGGCTTGACCAGGCTGGGGTGACCCCCGTCCTCCAGAAGGGAGTGAGGGGCTGGATGTTGACTATCTCCTTTCGTGTCATCGATCAACTTGGCCAACTGAACCGGGGGCTCTGCTCTGGCTGGGGGAATCTGCTGCCCACCCTCAGGGGGGCAAATGTGTGACCTTGTTGGTCCATGACCCATTTACCTTCATGTTCCTTCTCCCCCTTCGCCAACCTGGGCTGTCGGCAGGGGGCTGGCCCTGCAGGCTCCCAGGTCAGCTGGCTTCGGTTGGGTTTGGTCAGTGGGAAGCACTGTGGGGACTGGAGGGCTGGAGCTGAGCCCCGCTGTGGATCTAGACCCCCATGGCCCTGGCTTCCGCAGATGACCCTTGCCTCCAGTCATCTCACCCCACCGTCAAACCTAGGCCTCCCTTGGACCCCAGGCCTAGGCATGGGGGTGGTCTCCTGCTCTCCCCCTCCTTGTCTGTGGGTTGACTCACTGCCTCTGTTTGGCTTCTCAGCCCCTCCATAACCCATGTGACAAATTCCTGGCAGTAAAGTGCCTCTGTTTGAAATGCACAATGGTTTCTGTTTCTTGTTTAGACTCTGACCGAGATGCTTGTCCAAGACAACTTGAACCACCAGATCTTCTTCCATTGCCTGTTGAGGATAAAATGGATAAAAGGGCAAGGAGGAACAAGGGAAACAGACCATTTCTCTGTACGGATGGAACCCAGGCAGAATTAATAATAATAATAATGAGAATATCTGACATTTACTGAGTCCCACATGTGGGTCAATGTGCCCAGCGCCTCATTCTCATTATCTAATTTAATACAATGACCCTTTGCGGGTGGATATTACTATTATTCCCTTCTATAGAAGAACACTGAGGCCCAGAGAAGTAAGGCTGACATACCTAATAGTGTGCATGTGTGGTAAGATCGGTACCCAGAAGTTTTATTCCAGGGGCCAAGCCTCAGATCATGATGCTCTTCTCCCTTCGCTAGTAGCACCTTCCAAATTATAGTTGGAGACACTGTAGTTCTACTCAATGCCACACAGCAGGGGAAGGAGGTGGGGGTGTAGTACAAAGGGAAATAGAAGATTCTATCCCCACCTTATTTTGGAGATTTGCAGTGCATATTGCCATATTAAAGGTTCTGACAAGTCCTGCAGCACAGAAGCACATTTATCTCAATAAACCCAAAGTGTTCCACCATGGAATTCTTTTTTTTTTTTTTTAATTTTTTTTTATTCTTATGTTAATCCCCATACATTACATCATTAGTT